TGAGAAGCCAAGCTTCAAGCCACACAATTGAAGGGAACTACTGAGATCAGCTAGTTTAGTTCCTGCCACCCTTTACTGATCATCTGGGCAGCATTCAGATAAGCTGGGCCTTGGGGATGGAGCTCAGTGGTAGAGTGCATGCCTGCCATGCATGAGCTTCTGAGTCCCATCCCCAGTACTCAAGGAAAAAAAAAAAAAAAAAACAACCAGGCATGGTGTGCACGAGTTTAAGCCTAGCCTGGGTTATAATGAGACTCTAGGAAACAACAGAAAAGAAAGCTTCAGCAAGAACCAGCTGCTCAATATTGGCAGTGCTTAAGACAGTCTGTCCAAGTATCCTGCTGGCCTAACCCCAGAGCAGAGCTGTCTGTTACTTCAGTAACATCTTCAACTTGATGAGCCTCCTGCCTCCGCCTCCTGCGTGCTATGACTACAGGTATGTGTCATTACACCCAACCTCATTTTTAAAATTTAGGTCTTAAAATCAATGGAACAGGTGGCTGGAGAGCTGGCTCAGCAGCTAAGAGTGCTGGCTGCTCTTGCAGAGGACCTGAGTTCAGTTCCCAGCACCCATGTGGTGGCTAACTCCAGTTCCAGGGGATCTGACACCCTCTTCTGACTTCCACAGGCACTGCATGACACGGGCGCACCTACCTACATGCAGCCAATACATTTAAAATAAAAATATTTAAAAACAAAATTAATGGAAGTCACTTCATGCTTAAATGCATGGGATAACAGAAACTTTTGTGAAGTTAAACAGTTCTCCATTAGAGAATATTTCTGTGTTTAAAACCTCAATACAGGCAGTCATTAATGCACCTTGAATTCGTGACAATTTTAAAGTTTTTTGCGTGTGTTTATGTGCACATGCATGTGGGTACTCACAGAGTCAAGAAGAGGGCATCATATCCCAACGGGTGGTTGGTGAGCTGCCAAATGTGGGTGCTGGGAACACAACTTGGGTCTTTTGCGAAAGCAGTAAGCACTCTCAATCACTGAGCCATCTCTCCAATCCAAATTTTCAGCAAATTTAAAGCAAATGCTTAAAGCTTAGCTGTAAGTTCTAAGGTGTCCTATTTGTGGAAATATTTCCCCATCCCATGTCTTCCAACTCATTCAACAGACAGTAAATAGACAACTCTGCTTGAATGGGACAGGGCTGGTGTGTAGGTCTGCCCATCACCAGGTTTGCCAACCACCGGCCCAGCCCTTTTATGGGAAGCTTCTTGCAGATTTGTATCTTTTTTTTTCCCCCCAAAGTGATAGCATCTGGTTCAGTGTTGAAGTTGCTGTATGGACAGGCAACAGTGTGGGGAGGAGAGCATTAATTTGAAGTTGAGGCCTGGTCTTCCACACTGATGTGTTTTCAGCACTTCCATGTCCCTGAACCCCAAATTCCTAACCTGTAAAATAGGAAGATCCCAACCCTTTCACAGGATTGAGCGAACACTGAAGGGGAAAGTGTGCCGGAGACTCAGTGACAAATACCAGCAATGCCTTAAGCTCCTTGGACGCAAGCATGTAACTGAAAGAGGGGATCATTATTATTGCTTGTATGGTCGGAGGCTGCATTCATTTAGGTTTTAGGGCACATCTGAATGTTCTCTTGTGTTTAATTCTAGATTAGGTCAGAAGCTAATGACACCTGTTTGCTTGCACTGTCCTTGTCTCCCACCAGGTGGCATTGCTTTCCAATGAGCAATTTCTTCTGGGAGAGGCTGTGGGACCTTTTACAGGGGATCAAAACTGGAGATGCAAGGGGATGGGGCACCCAACCCTCACCTCACTCCACCTCCCCCACCACCCTGCAGGAAGCAAAGCAGGATCTGGGGATGCAGAGCTCAGTAGCTGGAGGTATGACTTCCAGAAGAGTGTCTTCAGACCCCTTGTGTGTGATATACGGCACTTCACAAAAGTTGAGAGTAACGCACCAGTGCTTTCAAGACTGGCAAAAGCTTGCGCACACACAAATAGTTTAGGCAATGTGTACCTATGTGCCAGTCAATACATTTTTCAAGAGAGCAGTATTTGGAAATCACATGGATTTGTCTTTGATTTTGTATGAAGAGGCACAGTAGCTGTGATTTCTATACCACGAGTACACAAAATATTGATGTTAGATTGACTTTAGGAATCCAAGCTACACAAACCAATAGCTGGAGTCCCTTGGAAAGGACTGGGTGTCCAGCATGGCCCACTCTCCCTGCTCAGGGTCATGATGAAAGTTGATGGCACTGCTATTGAACCTTGCTAGGGGTTCCCTGGTCACACCTGCTGCTCCTCTCTGGGACTCCAGAGTCTTTCCTTTTCGTTATGGCTGGCCTCACCCCCCTTGAAAAGAAGAGGGATGCAAAGACCATGCTTCAAATCAGAGAAGCCATCTTCTTACCTCATTCTCAGTGTCTCAAAACACTCAGTTCTGAAAATAAACGGGCCCATTCAGTGGTGTGGGATTGTGTGTGCATTTGCATGTACACATGCATTTACTTTATCTATTTGGAGATGAAATTATGGAAGGGTCACAGTGCTGAATTACTGTTGCAGCCTGCCTCCAAGTAGCTTCACTGCCTCAACCTTAGAACGCTATTATCAGTATGTAGAACTGGAAAGAGGTGTGTTCCAAACTCAAATGCATGAGGCTCATGAGTACTACATGCTTCCTGTTAAAAGAAGAAAAGGCATCTTTGGGGCTGGAGAGATAGCTCAGCAATTAAGAGCACTGGCTGCTCTTGCAGAGGACCTGGATTTGGTTCCCAGCACCTCACCTATATGGAGGCTAACACCTGTCCTTAACTCCAGTTCCAGTGGATCCGATGCCCTCTTCTGGCCTCCGCAGGCACTGCATGATGTGGGTGCACCTATATTACACGCAGGCAAAATACTCATAAAAGTAAAAAAAAAAAAGTTTTTAAGGCATCTTTTATACTGAGCTTTCATCTCTTTTGAACCTTTGCAGAAAAAAATAAGATTTGTGGTATTTATATATAAAATTAAATGTTGATTTGTCTACTAAATGGACTTAGGTAGGATGGAGCACTCAGGATGCACACCTTGGTTGCGTACAGACTACCTGTATCTACTATTAACTGCTAGGCTCCCATCTAGAGAAAATCTTCAAGAGCAGGGACTCTAACGAAGACTGGTTTCTAGGTATCTTGCCACCTCCCAAACTGTCTTTTATTTCTAAAACTCTCCCACTCTCCCAAGTAAGTCTCTTCAAATAGAAGAATGCTCTTATTTTAAAAAGCATTTGAGTGCCTTCTGGGTGCGCTATTCTATTATGCTGGGCATCTCCCATCTTCATTTGATCTCTATAACCATGATTTAAACACACTCCACATCTGCCTTCTCATCTCTCTCATCTTTCTTTAAAGCAGGCTTCACTATGTCAGTTCTTACTTTTAGACAGACTTTCCCATGTTAGTTCAGGCCCTCCTCAGATCCAATTTCCAGGCTTTCCTTCCTCAACCACTCAATGATTTCCTGAAACAAGAGGCAACATTCTTTTCCTCTGTTTAAAACCTGGTAATTTCCGATTTTTCAATCAATTCCTAATTCCACTCTAACCCTATTTTGGCCTTTGCACACTCACAAATGTTCTCTTTTAAAGTGCTCCCTTTACTGTTAATGTTCTGGTTTCCTTCTTCCCATCTCCAACCACATAGCACTGCTGTTTCTGTACATGACACACGTTCTGCCTGACATGCCTGACCCTGCCTACACTGTGAGCCGAGTCTTCAGACACACCTCTCCCATAGGCCTACATCAACCTCTACTTCTGAAGTCATGTCCTGTCCTTCTGTGACAGCTTGGGAGGGGGGTCAAGTTAGGAATTCAGGGGTCCTCAGTACACTGCAGGTGTGTGCAAGTCACTTGGAAAGTGATATGGCAAATCTTGGAAAACTGAGTGTGACTGCACCTAGGTAGATGCCCTGATAAGCTCTTGCACACATGAATCAGGAGAATGGTAAAAAAAAAAAAAATTCCTGGAAGTCCTAACGAGGGAGAGAGGGAGAGAGAGAGAGAGGGAGAGAGAGAGAGAGAGAGAGAGAGAGAGAGAGAGAGAGAGAGAGAACCATTAAATGTTCATTGACAGAACAATGGATGAATGTATCAATACTCTCCCTTATATGAGAATATTTTAAGGCATAAAAATGAATAAACTTCAGGAACATAATAGCACCACAAAACCAGATTAGATGACCTAATCCCAGAGGACTAGGTATCAAAGGATATTCTCTTCATACAGGTCAAGAAAAGCAAAAAGCAGCTGTTTCTGTAGAGGTATAACAGGCAAGAAAACAAAACACAATTTAGAGCTTACTCAGAGCAATGGGGTAAGGAGGATGATGGGATGGGGAGGAACAGGTGATGGCAGTGGGACCCTGTGGTTAAGGTGAAGGTAAATTCATCACTCGTGTGCAGACATATATTTATACGTTTAAGGGGAGGGATGGTGGCCTACGAGCAACCCATCACACATGGATAGAGCAGGTAGACAAAACCAGTGTCCTTGCCCATGCTGAATGACAGGGTAGAAGCACGCCCAGGAAGACCTTGAGAGTAACAGCAAACACACTGGTCTCCCACAGTGCTTCAGAAATGACTGCTGGCATAAACACTTTGACTTAAGACTGAATTATGGCAGAGAATAAATGATATAAAAGGAACCATGATAATTGAAAACCAAAATACAAAATGGAGAAATTTGCTCCATCCTGCTCTCGGCAAGGGAGGTCCTAAAACAGAAATGTACTTTCTAGGTTAACGGGAACTACCCTATTTATCAAGATTGCTTTGGCACTCAGTGTCTTCCCTTCCTTTGGAAGTCACACAGATGACCCACCCTGGGGAAAAACTAAAGAATATTCAGGAGGGATATGACTTTGGGAGACAATGTCCATATCAAGAGGGAAACAGAATTCTTTAAAAAAAAAAATCACCATGTATGATGAATCTATCTTTCAATTTTACAAAACTTGCAATAAGGCACAAAGCTGTTTTTCATTTTTTTTTATTGCTGTTAATTCAAGGAAAAAGGTTGCATAAAATCCAATCTGTTCTAGAAATATAAGTGGCCTTTCCAGTACATTTCAAATATCAAAGTATATGGTAAACATACAAATAAGGAGAAGGTAACATACCTCCTATGTACAGTACAGTATTTGAAATCATAAAATAAGCTCCATAAAGTACACCTGGCAAGTGAGTCACAATGCACCTGTACGTGGCTTATCAACACTTTCCCCTGAAAAACTCAACCGTAGCTTAACGATTAATTTAATAATGTGGTCCAAAAATACCCAGATCAAATAAAATATATTTAATCAAAATAATTTCCTTTACATGAACTCTTTGCTTTCTAAATTAAAGCTTTCATCTACCCCTTACACACACCCCTTCTCCTCCCGTAACTCCTACCCCTCAAAGTTTCAAAATGTACATTGGTGCTATAAATATAAATGCTACTTTTGAAGCATGAAACTAAGCTTTTTTCTTCAAGTTTTTTCTCTTCTGTCTAGCAATGTTAGGTTTTCAAACCCAGACCAAATATTTAAGTTCCTCTGCTGCACACCAGTATTATTCCCCACAATAAAAACCAGTCATTTCTACTCTGTACTGAGGAATGGAAAACTAAATCCCTTATCCCCCAAATCTGTGACTAGATAGTGGTAGCTATTCATTGCTGCTGAATACAGCAGTCACTGAAAAATACTCCCAGTCTTCCAGATAACCTCAGTGCACTTTAAGAAATCAAAATTACCTGGAAGCAATTTAGTACATAGATTGGCTTTAAAAAAAATTTTTTTTTTAAACAGCAGCATTAAACTTAGTGACAGGACACTGACATGATTAATACCATCGCAACACACTCAGAATTCAGTCTTCACATTATAATCAAGCATAGTGGTAAACGGTTATAAAAGTGACTTTGCTTACGAGAGACAGGTTAGGGAACAAATACCTGACTTTGTAGAAACCCACAGCTTCTGTTCAGATCTCAATAAATCACACACATTTTAAACACAATCAACACTGTAACAGTTGGTATAGTGAAGATGAGATCTTTACTCAAGTAGTGCCTGAGCAGGACATGGTGGTAGACGATGAGAACTGCTGACTTCCATCACAGACACAAGCACACAGAGAACAACATTCACGCCAGTGTGTTCATTTTGTGTCTCTCTGAAGCAACAGGCTACAAAAGTATGAAGGAAGGAAAAAGTTGTTTTCTCTTATGGAAGGGCTTTTTGTCCATTTCATACATTTTCAGCTTCATGTGGTCTGACTTCCTCTCTCCCACTTATTTTCAAGTTTATTTGGACAACAGCGCTGCATATATGTATTTATACGATGCTTTTTATTACATATAGACATACTTCTTGGAATTTTACTTCTCCTGTAAGATTAAGGTGAGTCGTGTTGCCCTTGGGTCATACGCAGAGCAGGTCACAGAAGTGCGACAAAGACTGCTGCGATGCCACAGGTCAGGGAGAGAGCAGCTGGCCAGAAAAGTGCAGTGTAGGGTGAACGTGAGAAAGCCGAGGAAGAAGCAAAGGCTCTTTTCTCAAAACCAATGACTGTTACCAGTGTTGTTAAAAAAAAAAAAGGTCAAATACACAGTTTTCAAGATTCAGTAAACATTGCACACAGCAAGTATTCAGTGTAAAAAAAGCACACATCCACATTTTCCTTTTGATAGCTTGTCTGAAGTTTAAGTTACATGTATCATACATTTAAGCCTGTTGTTGAACCAGGAGACCAGAGGCTCAGAAGCATTGCATTCTTTCTTATTTTTGGACATTGGTGCAAGAGAAATGAAAACTCCCAACTGCATAGAAATCTAGGAAATGTATAGACAAAGAAACAAAATACCTTTCCTTTCCTCCCCTCCACACCCTATGACTCCCCACACTTGAGTGTATTAAGTAGACAAGCTTTACTCGGTTCAGTCTGCAGAATCCAACGTATCATTAGAAGGGGGGAGGGGAGGTGCGTATCTCAGTCTGTAAGTGCCTAAAATGGGAAAGACAGAACGGCTAAGTCACCGCTTACAACTGCAGGCATCACAAACCACTACAAGATATCAAATGGGCATGCTCTTCAAAGGCCTTTCCTTCCTCGGCACTAACTCCACTCCAAAATGGCAAAAAAGTTTTGCTTTTCCAAAAAAGCAGTGATGTTTGTGCTTTAAGTTCAACCTAAAGCTGTCAAACTTGATCTCCCTAATCAATATACTCTTGATTCAAGACCTTATTATCTGGGTAAGATTTGGCACAAGAACAAAGGCCAAATACAAGAGAAAGGTAAGTCTGAGGTCAGCACTGAATTTATTATCTCCCTCATACTTTCTAAGTGCATTTCCTTCTTTCTGGTGTTAACACTATTAAACTGAGTTCTTACTCCCAAACTACCATTCAAACTGTCTCGTTTCTGTAAAATGCAATCAGATCTTGGCTTTTTTTCTTATGTGTGTTGGAAGGAGAGGGGCAGCATGGGCATCTACATGAGCTAGCTGGTTATGTACAGACTCTAACTGTCAACCTTGCATGTCAGGTAACTAGCTTATTTCCTAGTTTTCAGTATTTGGAACAGGATTATAGCTCTTAAAAAACAGTGCCGCAAACAAGAGATTTAAAATTACAGAATTCAAATTCCCACTATATTCTTTGAAAAGTGCCTTCAGAGTTTATACTTTAAGTAGGAGCTAAACTTCCTTCAACTTTTCTTGTGCTACGTGTGACCTGGGTCTACACTAGGTTTTATGATCTGTCACTGAAAACACAACACCTGTAAGCACACACGCAAATGGACCTTTCTGCTAAAACAGAATCACATGATCAAGAAGAGAAAACAGGTGAACTCAAAAACAAGTCCTCTGGGAGTTATTGTGATTACCTTGTTGATTGGCCTCCATGGACGACTGCTTACAGTCCTGTGCATAATGTCCGCTTACACCACAATTGTAACATGAGACATTCCCATTCTTCTTGGGCCCCGAACCACTGGTGTTGGCAACTACATTAGGTGCTGGATATATGGGATACAATCTCCCAAATCCTGCCATCTGCTGCATGCCATAGTTGGCTTGGCTCCCCATGACTGGGTCGTGCACCAGTCCGTTTGCATATGGAGTCTGAGGCAGAAAAAAAGGAAGTTGGTTTCCATTGCTCTGATGTGCTTGGTTGAGGTAGCTGCCATTGCAAATGGATGGCAGAGTGAAGAACGATGGGACTCGGTACATTGGTCCGGGCATTGGATTGGGATAATAATAACTACTTAGCTGAAGGTTTCCATTGGTCCCACAGCTGCACCTTCGCCCACAAGAACCACAAGGACCTGAGCCCATCTGCTGTGGTGGCACTACTGTCCCATTAGTGTTTGTGTTCCCCACAGCACTGATGTAAGATGTGCTGTCACTCTGCGCAGTACTGTGTGTCAAGGCTGGGCTGGGGCTTGGGGCAGGGCCTGGGGTGTGGGTAGGAACTGCAGGAGAAACCGTGGACTGGGCCTGACTGATGCCTGCACTTGCTGGCTGGGCAGAAGTGGCTGTGTTGAGCACACTGGAATTCTGGGTGGGTAACACACTGGCAGCAAGGGGAGAGCCCGGAAAGGTGTAGGAAGCTGGTGGCTGTGCAGCAGAGAGGCCAGCTGCTGGAAGAACTACCTTCACATTGGTAGGCTGAGGGACTGTCCCTGTGTTTCCCTCAATCTGAGGCACCATTTGATTTAGCCCTACCACTTGGGATGCAGACTTTGTGATGGGGTCCGCGGTAGCCACAGGAGATCCTGGGAAACTACCTGGGTTATGGACAGGAATAAAGGCAGTGTTTGGTGATCCGATGCTCAGACTTCCGGGTGGTTGTTGTGGGATATTAACTGTGCAGCTCTCAGAAGATCCCTGTGTTGGTGGTAATTTTAGTCTCTGCAATGTCAGCTGCAAAGCAGGAGCACTACTATGTGGAAGGAAGGTTGATGGTATAGGTAGAGGGGAAGCCAGCAATTCAAGATGTTTTTCTGATTCTCCAGTAGAAGCTGTTGGCCCGAGGATTCCAACAGGGGTTGAATTTGTGGACTCCCTTAGTGCAGAAATAGCCACAGCGTTAGGAACAAGCATCCCTAGTGTTTTGCCATCTGCAGATTTGGGTGGAGGAATGACAACTTCTGACTTCTGGGCACCATTGTGCATGACACAGTGTAGAGCTGGCATAAAAGGAATATGCGGATACTTGGGTGAGTTCAAGGGATCTTCTAAAAGGTTTCCATTCTCATTTCCTAGTGAGACAATCTGAACAGGTGGGTTGACAGTTACAGTCTGGTTGACAGAGCCATAACCTGTAAACCTGGCTGCCGATGGATTCCCAGAATCTTCAGAATTACTGTCTGTGTCTATAGAAAACAAACACAAGTATGTATTAACCTAGGCTTAACTCCTGTTTTTCTTGCTTGAAATAAAATTAAGCATATTTACAATGAAATGCCAAGGATGACTTTCTTTGGCTTTTCATAGCTCATTACAATATGCATGCTTTATTTTAAAACTATGGAGACATAAGCAACACAACAACAAAAAGGTCATGTAATATCACTTTATTACTGAGAAAACAATAGATCATCGATTTTCAGCTATCTACTTAATTCTGCATGGTCAAACCTGATTTAAAAATTTTATCTCACGTAAGTGACACAGCTTAAAGGAGTTCAATCAAGACATTATTTAACTCAAAATATTTAAAGATAAGGAATGGAGTAACTATTTATACTATTTTTTTTGGGGGGGGGTCCTTTTTGAGACAGGGTCTCCCTGTAGCTTCAGCTGTACTGAAACTTACTATGTAGACCAGGCTGGCCTTGAATTCACAGAGATCCATCTGCCTCTGCCTCCCTGGGATTAAAGGCGTGCACCACCATGCCCGGCGTATACTACTATTTATACTACTATACGTCAATGGGGGAAGAAAATTTAAAGCTACTATCATTAATCATAAAATACATATTCTAGCACACAAGAAGCAAGACCAATAAGAAAGTACTGACATTTCTCCACAATCAAACAGTAGGTGCAAAACCGTACTGCATTTGTGTTACATACAGAAATTACTTCAGCTTCCAGACAGGGCAGGAGAGGGGTGAAGGATACTAATTCATGCACAACATTTAAACCCATAAACCTAGATGCTGCACTGCAGTCTAAAGATCCCACGCAGTGAAATGTAGTACCTATTTTAAAATTTTTTCTGCTCTTAAATATAAGCCCAATTACACTCAGTACTTACAGTGTTTGTATTTATTGAGGCAAGAACTGATTATACTCAACTTAGGAGGTTAAAGATTCTTGAGACAGAAAACTAAAAAAAAGTAAGATTAACCTTCAGGAAGAAAGGTTAAATGGAATCTACTTAATGACACAATACCAAGTGTTATTAACTGAACTATCTTAATTTATATTAGAGAACAACTTTAATAAGCGTATGGTTTTAGCATGTATTTCTCCTAACAGTTAATAATCAGGTTATTACCAAACTTTGCAAAACAGAGAGTATCCCCAAATTAATAACCTATCCAAAGCACTGTATCTGTACGGTCACCAGTGCAGAGTTAAGAACAAAAATAAAGTATAAGGGGCTGGTGAGATGGCTCAGCAGTTAAGAATACTGGCTACTCTTGCAGAGGACTTGGGTTCAATTCTCAGCACCCACATGGCAGCTAACAACTATCAATAACTCTAGTTCCAGATGATTCAATGCTCTTTTCTGACCTCTGTGGGCACTGCACAACATGGGTGAACTTACATAATGCAGGCAATACACTCATACACATAGGAAAGCATAAGCTCTCAAACAAAACGTCGATTACAACAATAAAGTCACATTTCCAAAAGTAGCCTTTGAGAGCATCCTAAGGGGCTCTTTCCTGTATGGAAGCGTACATGTAAAAAGGACAAAGTTTCTATGCAGGCATATCGATTATCAATATCATACTCCTTAAGGGAACAGGAAAAGGGTATTACAAAGTTACCCACGTATCTGACAATTAGGTCAAATCTGCTCAAGAGTCACAGAATTGGCTAGTCATGGTGGAGCACCCCTTTTGTTACAGCACTAGGGAGGCAGAGGCAGGCAGATTTCTGTAAGCTGGAGGCCAGCCTGGTCTACATAGTGAGTTTCAGGCCAGCTGGGGCTACAGAGAGACTCTGTCTCAAAAAAAAGAAAAAAAAAATTAGCCACATCCCACTAAATCAAGCATAATGTACAGAGTAATATGCTGAAAGCCTGTCTCTTCTGGTTAAGGCATAGTCTCTCAATTCTCTTCCAATAGTGCTTGGAGGTTATTTTCAATTTTCTTTCTTGGGAAAACTACATAGCAAAAGTGCAGTGTAGTATAAAATCAGTAGAGTTGGTCACTGCAAGCTCCAGTTGGTGTGACTACAAAACTGCAAAGTGAAGACTGCCTTCAACTGTTGGTAAAGTATCAGCACCAATGCATAGCTCCCCAAGAAGAATAACAGAAGCTAGGTTCCAGCAAGCTAGGGACTACGCAGCAAGAAACCACCCTTGGCTGAAATAGCACTGTATAAGGAGCTCAACAGAGAAATCTTTTGAGACTGCACACAGCATAGGTACCCCATGACCAAGATGTCAACAGTCAGCTGTTGGCATATGTGAAGGACAGCATCCTTGTTCAACAGAGGGCTTCTCAATGGGATCTCACTTCCAGACCAGAATGGTAGAAAAAGCCCCTTCAATGAGAACCATGGCAGAAAACTGTCAAAACCCAACTTCCTTAGAACTGTGAAAATTAATTAAAGTCCTGGAACAATCTGAGGAGTGTTTAAGAAAAACAAATGACTCTCATAAGAACAGAGACCCTTCTAACATTTTACCTTGCCCTACCCTAATCCCACTTCTTTCTTTTTTAAAAATCTTTAATAGCCCCACAGACTATGGCAGCTGTGGAAATCAGTAACAAAGCAGCCACTAGAAAGAATAATATAGGGTCTGCAATTCCCTCAAAGTCCTTGCTATCATCAAAAAAAACCCTGCTACTACGTGAGCTGTTTGACTACTGTGTTCACCTTGTTTATGGTCTCTCGTGCATTCATTCTCAAGACATTTATCATTATTCATCAGTGACAAGTGTTAACAATACGGCTACCTGAGGCAGTATTATCACCTAGGGTTAATGGAGGGCTGACTAAATAAGGAATGGGAATTCCACAGGGGGTTCTGAAATGCTTTCATATACTATTAAGAACCTAGAAAGTTATGTTAATGCCTAGTCTGTGTGCATTTCCAGGTTCTCACTACTGGCTGACTTTAGTCTCTATGGAAGGAAGAACTGAAGATGTAATAAATACAGAAAACAATCAGCAAAATGGTAGAGGGAAATCTCATCAATAATTATACCAAATGTGAATGGACTAAACACTCAGATCAAATGGCAGAGATGGGCAAACTGGATTAAAACACCCATGATCTGGGGCTGGAGAGATGGCTCAGCAGTTAAAAGCACTGACTGCTCTTGCAGAGGACCCAAGTTTGATTTCCAGAACCAACATGGCGGCTACGAACCAGTTCCAGGGGAATCCAAAGCCCTCTTCTGACCTCTGCGGCATTGCATGACATTGGTGCACTCACATACATGCAGGCAATACACTCATACACATAAAATAAAAGTAATAAATAAAGTATTAAAAAAACCAAAACAAAACACTCATGATCTAACTATATGCTGTCTACGAGAGACACATTTCAGATTTAAAAACATACTTGTAAAGCATAGAAAATAAAGTTTCATGTACTGATATCCAAAAGAAGAGATGGGATGACCATATTATTATCAGACAAAATAGACTGAGACAAGTACTGTTGCTAGAGACAAAGAAGATTGTCTTATAACAATAAAAGTGTTAGCCAGGATGATAGCAAGGGTACAAATACACATGCATCTAACACCATTTGAATGTTTATCCACTATTTTGTTACAACCCCTTTTCTCTTTAAGTTTCACATGCAGTGAAGTAACTATGAAATTAATACTGCTTGAAACTGCTCTGGCGAAGGTCATTAAAGTACACTTTATAATAAATTTTAAGTCAATAAAGGGTTTATATGACTTTTGGGTTTGATATTAAGAAATAATGCAAACATTTTCCTCCACCCTGCACCATTCCCTCTCCTAAAAGCAAACCTCTGTCCTTTTCTTCTTCACTTTCAAAACTTTCTCTTCCATCATGTCGTGGACTAGATGGAGAACTGTAACTCTCTGAAGATGTTTCTCCACATGTGTCATGTCCAGATCCAATGTCCAAATTCACATCTAAAAACAACAATCCTAAAGTTATGTTAAATAGCTAATTTGCAAATTAAACCATTAGAAATTAGTTGTAGCTGTAAAAGTTCTTCTTTCAGTTTTCCTATAGATAATTAAAATGGTTATTTTTGATCTAAGTGAAAATTCATTATTAATTGGCAAATATAAAATTAAAACAAAAGCATAGAAAAACAAGCTAATTTTCTTGACCTAAAAAAACCAAACCCCCCCCCAAAAAAAAACCAAAAAATAGAACTGGAGCTAGAAAGATGGCTCAGTGGTTAAGAGCACTGGCTGCTCTTTCAGAAGACCGGGGTTTGATTCCCAGCACCCACATGACAGCTAAAAACCATCCAAAACTCCAGTTCCAGGGGAATCTGATTCCCTCTTCTGACGTCTGTGGGCACTGCATGACAGAGGTGCACCTACCTACATGCAGGCAATACACTCAGACACATTAAAAAAAAATTTAAAAATCAGAATTATGGTTCTTTGTAGGATCAGTCCAACGATACCACTTTGAGCTACTTTCTAAGTTTACATAGTAACTTCTTAGAGCTTGTTGAAAAAGTCTTTTAAGAATGGAATAGTCTATCAAAGTACCTGTTCAGTTACAATTACTAGGTCAGGTCAAAGTATTTAAAAAACAAAATGCTTCTCATCTAGCAGGCTAAGTGTTCTCTTACTTTCTCCCCAAAGGCTGCTACTCCTATACCATGATGAGGTGGGGATGACTGCAAGGACCAATTAGCTGCATCTGTTTTGGGCATATAAGGAAAGATTATTGGTATGTCTCCCACGAGACATTCACATACTGCACAGACTCAGGGACTTGTCCCGTTCATTTCTGTAAGCCCAATTGCTAACATACTTTCTGTCTTATAGCAGGCATCCATCCAATACACGTTTATGTTACAAATCCCTGTATAAGTGATTCCAGAGAATTAAGATGTATAGACAAGTGAGTCATTTCCATGGCAACCTGGTAGACCAATAAAAGGTAATGATTATTAATCATTTGGGCAAAATATTTACCAGAGAAGACATGATTTATGTAATGAGCAATTTAGTTGCATAAACTGTGCTTTATGAAGGGGATACATTTACACCAGTGTTAAGATGGTTAAAGATGACCTAGCCTAGCCCAGTCACTCAAATGTTAGATAAGTAGTGAAGAAAAATAAGAACATTTAAGAATACAGATGTTGCTGGCTCTTCTTGGGTAGTAAGTGTGTTTAATTAGCAAGTTGCCAAAGAAATACTGCACAAAAACGCATGAAGCTATAAGTGGCAGTGGACTTACATGGGTGAGCAGAAATTTTAAAAAATAGCAGCCTTGAGTGTACTTAAATACAAGAGGGTCTGAATAATCAATTACAACACGATCAAAGAAAGGGACACAATTCAACACCAAAGATGGTTTAAAAGCATTGTAATGTGATATAGTGGCCAAAAAGGCTGGTGCTAAATTGGACTAATGAAAATGAAACCTATTAGAACTGTAACACATGGAAATCTTACACATAAATATTTCAGCCAGCATATAACAAAATAAAGTAGTCCAAGGAACTTTCTCTCCAAATGGTTTAATTTCTAAAACAATCTTCTCTACACTATACTTGCTGGTGAATATTCTGACATATTGCCATGTAAAAATTAAGATGCAGTTTTCGAAGAGATAAATCTCTAAATCTATAGTAAAAGCAGTTTTCTGTTTGATGACAAAGTGCTTTAGAATTGTGTAGAACTTGAAAACTTTTACGGTCAGAAACTACATGATCCTTTAGAGATTTATAAGGTATGGAGAAAATGAAAGAATTATAACAAAAGATATGCTACAAGCTGCTCTTTAAAATAATGGTACAATTTCTCTTTTATTATTTCTCAAATAATAAATAGTCTTACATACGATCAAGATGATAAAAACAATTTATGTCTAACAAAAATTCTCGTAATTGGCAGTTATTAAAAAAACTCAAGTTTGTTACAGAATTAAGAAGCACCTAAATAAATCACAGGTGAGAGAACCACATTTATAATCTGGATTATTAAAGGATATTAGAAATCTTTTAAAAATTGTTTATTAATAAATACTTGTTATTTTATGCGTATGTGTATGAGTATATTGCCTGCATGTGTGTAAGTACACCCACGTCATGCAAATGCCCACAGAGGTCAGAAAAGGGTATTGGATCCTCTGGAATTAGAGTTATGGACAGTTATTAGCCAACATGTGGGTCCTGGGTACTGAATCTGGGTCCCCTACAAGAGCAGCCAGTGCTCTTAACCACTGAGCCCTCTCTCCCATCTTGGATGTTAGAAATCTTTAGATCATTCTAAATCTGGTAAAGGAAACTCAGAGGCTAGCTGGTTTCCTGGTTTCCTTTCAAACTTTTTGGTGCCATAATCAACAACAGAAAGGTCGGGTGGAAGAAACACGCACAAGATAAACAAAGCAGTAAGTTCTTTTTAAAATTATTATTACTACTAGTATGTCTGTGTGGATGTGCATGTGTCTGTACACACATGCAGAGGCCAGACAGAGCAGGGCCTCATGTATCTTCCTCTTACCACTTTCCATCTATTAGACAGTCTCTCCATGGACCTAGGGCTTGGGCTGGGTTTTGGTTAGCCTGGAAGCAAGCAAGTTCTGGCAATCTTCCTGTCTCTGTTTCCTACAGCTGGAGGGTTACAGGTAAGTTTAAGACCACAACAAGCTTGTTAAATAGGTGCTAGGATAAGAACCCAAGTCTTCATGACTGCACAATAAATGCTGTTGTTTAACCTCTAAGTCATCTCTCTAACCTCCCCCAAAGTAAGTTTTTAATGTGCTGTGTGGTGATGCATCCACCTCTTTGGAAGAGAGACAGCCATAAAGGAATGTTTTCTGTTTTTTGTTTTTAGACAGGGTCTCACTAGGTAGCCCTGGTGGACCTGGAACTCACTACTGGACTCTGTCTCCAAGTGCTGGGATTAAAGGCCACTATGTCTGGCCAATATTCACCCATCCATATATATGTATGAGATAGAATTTTGCTGCATAATCCAGGCTGGCCTCAAATTAGTGATCCTACCTCAGCCTCCAGAGTGTTGAGATCACAGGTGTGTGCCACCATCCCTTTACTAAGACAAAGTTTTCAATGAAGATATACTGCCAATAGAGAGGACTAGCAGCATAGACTGCTTCCTGGAAACAGGTGACATGGAGGAAAGCAGCAGGAGATCATAATTTCTTTTCCCCTTTATACTTCTGAGCTATGTGAATATATTATCAGTCAAAGGAGAAATCCAAATTTAAAAACTAATAATTTTAAAATGAAAAGTAAATAATATGTATCTTGAGCTTTAATGAATCATTTAAAGAGCTGAACAACCTATGAATGAGAAGAACCCAATAATTTCAGCTAATATAGTAGCTGTATTTAGGAACTGCTATTCCATCTGGGAAGAAAAAAATTACGTCCAGTTTATTGAATGCTTGAAAGCAATTCTTTTGACACTTTAGTAATTTCAGAGGAACACTAACAAATGGAGTTTTTTTTTGTAGGCTGGTGTTAGCATGCATCTGAATTGTATCAGACATCAATGAGACAAGCTGCCCAAAGTATACTTATCCACGGTCCTACTTTATAAATGTAAATATTTATGAGTCAATTGCACGCATGCACACATACACACCCACATACCCACACCGACACATCCAAAATAGGGTTTGTTAAAAGAACCTGATTATTATCATTACTTGAAAATTATTGAGATAAAGGGAAAAGGGAATTGGAGCATGGGACATTACAATTCACAGGTTATTACATTTAATTTACAATCTGGTGAGGTAGGCATTATTCCAGCTTATACATGAAAAAAGTACCACTTCAGAGACTATACAGCTACGAAACAAGGAAGACGGAGCCAAACCCATGGTTATTTCTGATAAACGTCCATGGGCTATTTCTTTGGACACAGAGGCTAAAAAAGACAAGAATAGCTGCAAGCACACTGGGTGAGCAGTTCTGGAACTGTGTGCAACGAGAGGCAGGATCTTGTAGAGGGTGCTGTATACAGAGTTGCATCATGAGAATGACCCAGTTTAAGTGTGCTCCTTGAAGACAAACATAGAAGCAGCAGAAAAGGAGCCAGAAGAACAGAGCCTGGAAGAGCTGGCAGAAGTGATTCCTAGGTAACCACTAATAAGACCTTTGGCCTTCCTAATTTTGCTTTTTCCTTCTGCTCTCAATTGTCATCACTATAGGGAACCTCAGGGATAGTGAAGTGATATAATATGCTCCTGGGACTGGATCCTTATATGGACAAGACTGGTACACCCACCCCATCATCCTCCCTAGTTCAGCTGATACAATGAATTGGCCAGATGATTTGAGATTCAAAATGTAACCATTTTTCTATTTACTTATTTTCTACATATACACATCTAATTTAAAATACATCCTAATTAAGAAACCTATTATTTATGTTGGATCATGAATGAATGCACTAACATTAGAATAAGGCTTTAAATATCCTTACTTGTTGGATCAGTAAGTCAATGTGTCAGGTGAACACAGAAGATCCTAGGGGTCTGTGGACTTTTACTCTTTTCCTGTTTTTACAATTAATACTAAAGGCAAATAAAACACAGGAAAGTAACTGATGAACTGGTAGAAGAGGTGCTTCACAGTCAAATGAACCTCAAACCTAAATATAAAGGGACTTAAAAGCGATAGTGGGTAAAGCAAACCTAGTCCCAACAAAAACCCAAGGGTTTGAATTTGCCCAAAGCTCCATATAGGAGTTGTTAAATCATGAAAATACCAGTAACATCCTAAAAATGACTGTGAAAAGAGCACGTCCAGGCTCCTGAGGGTGGTCTGCAAAGATGTAGAAAAGACCCTCATGACCTCAGGACCACAGCTGGCTCTAGACTAGGGACCAGCTTGAGAAGGAAATAAGTCAGACCACTGCTGCCACAAAGGAAGGGGGACGTGATGATGTCTACACCCCTTGCTGACCTGCAGAATCCCTAAATTAACACCCTTATTCTCACAACTGTTTAACCTCAAACTGATGGATGATCAATGCAAGACAAACTTACAATACTAGGATCTAACACAACAACTTGTTATCTATTAACATAATGAGTGTTACATTGAGTATATTTAAAGATGGGCTTTTGAAAGAAAGCCTTCCTTACCTTTCACAGTACCACCATGAGTATGCGGAGGAGTGGAGAGTCTAATACCATTTATTCTACTGTTCAATCTGTTGTCAGCTTTCTTAATTTTCTCCCTAAACCAAATATAGACATATATGTATATATTATCAACACTTTATAAGATCCTCTTCCAAACATATTAATACAGCATTGCTAAAATCCTTTAGATGTTCTAATTTTCAATAAGGAAAAAAATCTAAGAAAGTTGTTTTTTGGTGTGCTGTTCTCAAAGTTCTGCCTCTCAAATACGTTTTTTTGATAGTAAGGTTTATTGCTGTCATTTGCATATGTCAATATTTTCAGCTACAAAAGTTAATTCCAGAATAAAAAGAAAAATAAAATTAATGGACCATAATACTTATATATAAAAATTAAATCTATCCATAATCAAATGCTATATGTCTTTCTTTACTAATTTTTATTACTGGAAAGATTAAATTGAACCTACTTTTCTATCTGTGGCTTTCCTTTCTTCTTATTTACTGACGATAAGCTCCGTTTTTCAGCAGAATGCTAGTAGAAATAAGACAAGTCAAACAAACCAAAGCTAAACCATATTGCTAGAGGTATCCTTTCACATAATACTAAACATTAGAATGACAGATTTTTCCATTACAGTGTAACAAATTTTGATTTCCAACCTACTTTTGAAGTTACCAATCTGAAACATTAACATTTACATATTCTATGACAACCATGTAAGAAAAAATTTCTTTCTTTTATTTTATAAGTCCACTTTTATTTAGTTTCCATTAGTTTAAATCCGTGAAGGGCACAGCATCATATGGATTCTGTGTCCAATGGCCTTTGCAGGAAGGTTGCTTTGGAATTTGGGACGAACCATGCCACTATTTCCATGGGCCCAGGTTACCTTTCCCGAGATTACTCTGGTTTTGTTTTGTTTGCCACCAGGAGTCACTGTGTTGTTGTTTGCTTTATACATAACACATCTCTTGCCTAAGGAGAATTCAGTGTCATCTCGGACATAAATGTCTTCGATTTTAAGAAGAGCTGTATGCTCTCTTTGGTTCCGGAGACCTCACTTATAGCCAGCAGAAGCGGCCTTGCACCAGTCTTCCAGACAGTTTTGCCTTTTAGAAGTCCTGTTCCCAGCAAGCTCCAGTTACCTGAAAATTTTTCCTTTAAAATGGAATACTTTTTTCTGACTACATTAAAGTCTCCTTATTTGCACTTTTACTTTCCAAAGTCAACCACAGCCAAAAATACTAATGCATAATTCCAAAAGTAAACATTTCCCATGTTTTAAATTCCTATAGTGAGTAGCATGATGAATCTCATGCTGTCCTCTTCCTTCCCTCCCAGGATACACATCCCTTGTCTAGATGTCCCTACAAGACTCACTATTCACCTCACTGCACCTGAGAGCATGCACAGTCACTAAATTACTATACTATAGCTATAATTGTTATTTTATTATTAATTACTGTTAACCTCTTATGGTGCCAAATTTTTTAATTTGCATGTATGTGTAAGAATATATACATATAGCAGACCTGGTACTATGTTTTCAGATATTCTGCTGGAAGTCTGGGGGTTATCTCTGTGGAAAGGGAGTCCTCTGCCCAAAACAAAACATGATCCAATAACTGGAATTTACTATGGGTTTATTAGTATTCTCTTTAAGCTCTGTTCAATAAAACATTTGTCAACTTTAAGAAGGGCGCAGGACTTGAATAGAGGGAGGAATAATTAGATGGGCTTTGAAAAAGAGACCATTAATTATGACTGTGGCAACTTATAATTTCTCAAAATATGCTTTTGTTCATGAATACACATTCCGTGAAGAGCTAATTGAGATCTGAGTGTTTGTCAGAAACAGAATGAAGTTCACAAATCAATTTTCTAGATGGAAAATCTCGCCTCCCCCAAATCTCTGGGGGCACATTACATTGACAAACCTCAAGCATTCTCCTTCCCTGATCACACCCAATTCATAAGAAAGCAAATGTTCACTAATTACATTAAAGACTATCAGTAAACCTAATTTTGAGAATTCCTAACATTATATCAAGATAGTGACTGACATGTGAATAAGTCTTTTGAGACTAAAAAATTTGTCCTAACAATTTAATGAATTGTTAGTTAGAATAAACATTTTAGCTGTCATAAAATGTATTAATTTTACATGAACAAAGTTATCTAAATACACCCTTTCAGACCTCAGAAGAACTCAATCACATATACAAGTATAAAGTCTAACAATGAAATACTCATTTCTTACCAGATAAGCTATCTGATAGAACGCTTACAGCACTCATTCCTCAGGAAATACTGAGAGGAGTAATGCTTTAACCATATGGTACCAAAACATACCCACCACCCACCTGATTAGCTGAGGTCACACAGTGCTCTGGGTGCTGAAGAGCAGCACAGCTTTGCTTCCTCCAATCCACAATTCCATTCTGTTCTGAATATTGCATGGTAAGCCCATCCAATGGAGAACAGCTTGTACCAACATTGCTATTAAAAGGCAAGTTTATGACAGTGTGAAATCTGTTCTCATAACTTAACCTATCCTATCATTTAAATGAAAATACAGCAAGCCTTTCTCTAACCTCTTAATGTTGTTGTTTGGAATGCCTAGTGATGAAAAGTCTATGAGAAAAAAAGTATACTATAAGGAATAATTAAATGCTTAATTCATCATTAATAACTGTCTTTAAAAAGAGCAGGAACAGTCTACTTGCCATTAGTGTGTGTGTGTGTGTGTGAATGCGGTGTTCCTGTGCCACTGTCAGCTGAAAAGAGGTTGCACAGTATGGAAAATAAGAACTGTATTGACAGGCAATTGAAGGGACAACATAAAGTGACTGAAACTCCCTCCACCCCCCAAAAACCCCAGACAACAGACAACAGCAACAGGCCACAAAGAATCTAGATAATGAAGTTACTGGATATAGGTGGGGGTGTTTAAAATGGTTAAGTGACTACAAGAAGACTGAGGATTTTGGAAAGTTGTTGAAAATATAAAAAGAACCAAATTTAAATTCTAGTACTATAAAGTTGATTTTAAGAACTCAATGGATGAGAAACGGGTGAAGAAAATTAATGAAGAAATTTGGTCTGAAGAAAACATGTTGAAGTAGTAGGAAGGAAAAAACACGGAAAATCAAAGTTTAAAAGCAAGTGGGATGTAATGAAGAGTCTAATGTTAACAGAAGGAGGTAGGGCTAATCTTACAAAATAGAAGCAAGAGAAGAAAGCAGAAGTCATATTCTAAGAGTTTTCTAAAATCAAGAGATAAAGCTACAGGTGTTAGAAGAATTCATACAGACAGCTTCAAGGCCTATCACATTCAACTGAGAAAAATTCAAAAGCAATGGGGGGGGGGGGGGGGCGCTACCAAAAGAGCAGCACTAATCTGACTCAACAGTGGAGGCCAGATACCTTCAGCTTGAATTCCCTTGAGAACAGTCTAAAATGACAATGTACTTGAGAGTTGGTCCCAGAAAGGAGAAGCAAGAAATGCCATAAGCAAAAGGAACTCAAAGTTCATCAACAATGACAGGAAGCACACTCCCACAGAATGAGGAAGGGCCCTGTGTTATAAAGTGGAAAGCAAATGGCACTTGTGTGAGCAGGATGGTACTACAGCAATGTGAGTCAGAAATCATGTAAGTGATTTTACACGCTCTGCCAGAAAAGTCAAAGATGGGCTGAGGGGACAGGGCACAAGAGAACAAAAGTACTTGACCAGAACATGGTGAAATCACAGCTTCAAAGAACAGAAAATAGCTGCCAACCTAGAATCTTGTATCAAGTAAAGTATCTTTCAAAAAAGAAGTCGAGCTATACTTTTTTCCCCCAGATAAAATCTTTTATTTTTCAACATTTGTTATTTTTATTTTATGTGTATGAGTATACTGTCTGCATGTACGTAAGTACAACAGTGACATGTAACATTCATGGAGTCCAGAAGAAGAAGCCGGATCCCCTAGAACTAGAGTTACAGATGGTTGTTAGCCACCATGTGGATGCTGGGAACCAAACCTGGGTCCTCTGCAAGAGTAACCAGTGCTCTTAACCACTGAGCCATCTCTCTAGTCATCTTTTTTTTAAATATAAGGTCTCATTATGTAGCCCTGGCTGGCCTGGAACATGCTACATAGACCAGGCTGTTCTTGAACTTACAGAGATCCACCTGTTTCCCAAGGGCTGAGATTAAAATGCGAGGACTAAACAAGATCTTACTGAATTCAGGCTTAAGGGTGTAGGTCAGTAATAGAGAGCTTACTTAGCATTTGTGAGGACCTATGTCCAATACCTAGTACCACAAACAAACATATATACTCAACAACAACAAAAAACCCTAACTGCATTCACCACTGACAAAAACTATTACAGGAAGTGGTATTTTTTCAGTTAAAAAAAAAATCATTAGTAGATGCTTACTTACTGAAAGGAAGGAATGGAAAGGACCTTAAATGAACACTGGAACTTAAAACCGTAAGAAAATTAAAATGCATGATGGTTAAAAATTAAGTTACAGTGATCTCAGGCCCTTAGACTATCTGAGAAATGCTGCAAGCACAAATTAACATCAGACTTTACTAAGTGAAAGATAAAGATGCACACTACCATTTCTAGGGTAGCCTCCTGAAGAGCAGAAAACAATGTGTAACAAGGAAGGCTTCCAGAAGAGAAAAACAAGAAAAACAACCCAAAAAGGTAGCAAGAAAGGAGACAAAAAAGGACACTCAGAATAGATAAGACAAGGAAAATGCAAACAACAAAAATGGTAGACCAGGCAAAATGTCAGTAATCTAAACGTTCATTGATTTATGAGTGTATAAAAACATTTGTTTTAGAAATTAGATACCTACTTCACAATGGGACTTTTCCCAGCATGCTTCTTGTGGATTATGGTATGCTGTAACACATCTAGGGTAGAAGAAAATAAAATTAATTTACTATACTAAATGCTGTACCAAAAACCCAAAAGGATGATTCTGGTTTATGCAATTGAACAGTGGTGGCCCATGTATATAGCACTGTGATGATCCACTTCCCAACACAGAAGATGGCTTCCCCTACTCCCACCCCCAAGACAGGCATTCTATAGCTCAGGCTGGTTTCAAACTCACAACCCTCCTGCCTTAGCCTCTTAAGTGCTGGGAGTACAGGTATGCACTATACCTGGCTTACAGAAGATAGCATAATAAAGCAGTTTTTCAAAGACATAATAAGCTGTTGAATTATCTTAAATGTCCTCTCAAATGTGCACATTAATCTTGCTCAAAACTATGCATGTTTAATATGAGCATGTCACTGCAAACTACATTCCAGGAAACCTCCCCCATTAAAAAATAAAGAGCTTTGAGCATTTTAAAAAATTCGTAAGAAACACTCACGTATACCCCCACATTCCACATTTTTCTCTAGTTACTTAGAAAAAGAAATAAAACATCATGGCTATGACAATCGGTCTTCCTTCATTCCATTTTCCCCCTCCTTGCTACAGAGGCTAACTAGTGCATAACACGCTGAAACAGTCTAGTCAAAGTCCATCCTAACTACTTAAATACTACATATATGGTGGTGTAGTACACTGACTATACTTCAAATACTTTTGATTTTAACTGCTATCCAGCATATGCACATCGTAACTTATTTGAAACAACTTCCTGTTTGTTCCTACAGACCACGCTGCCAGGAGCACCCACCCAAGTTTCAGACGCAGAATTACTGAGCAGCCGCAGAGCATTATCTCCAATTCCACTGTGTTGTGCCAAATTTCTGTCCAAACACTTGTGCCAATTTATATCTCCATCCGTAGTACATGAGCTTCCACTGCTGCTATACTTGGTGTCAGACTTGAAAGTGTTTGCCAATCTGATGAATGTGAAATGGTATCTTATAATTTTCACCTGCATGTTCTCAATCACTTTCGAGGCTGTGTGCTGTTTAATGGCTTGTAGGTCTCTTCCTCTATAAATTTCCTGTGTCTTTTGCCCATATTTCTGTTTGGATGACTTTCTTCCATCTATAATGAGCAATTAGTCTTTTATTTGTAAATATTGTGCTAATATTTCCTCTTCTGTGGACTGTCTTCCAACTATATGGTTTCTTTGGTTACATAAAGCTCTTACTTAAGATTGGTAAAATGTATGGTCAAGTTCTGCCTTATTCAAGAAAGCCCACTCTTCCTGGATTAGCATCTAAGAGTTTAAATTCTACATTTTTACAGGTAAGGTCTTATTCACTTGAAAGTTTTGTGCATGATATAAGTTAAAAATTTAAT